TATATATATATATATATATATATATACTGTATACACACATACATATACACATGCACACACCCACATATATAACACTATATTATATGATTGCGCACAAAACACAGTGAAATACATCTAGATTTAAAGTTTTCAAAACTAAACCAAAGGGAACTTTAGTACTTTGGTTCTAAAGTATAACAATTCATAAAAAAATAGTGCTGACAGTAAGTGTAACGTGTAACTCAACAACACAACACTAGCAATAAACCAGAGAAGTGCCACAGAGGACTATTATGGATCATGAAGCACTTTCACTATATTTCACAATTCACTAAAGACAAGTCTGCATGGAAAGTGTCATAATTTCATTCTTTATTGATTATTATTAAAAATAATAGGGTACACATGCACTGAAAATCCCAAAAAGTGAAATACAGTGTTCTACTATTGTCCTTAACACACCATACTGAGAGTGATGGTAATACCTCCATTGCGGTTGTCGTGACAATTAATTCCTTGAAGTTCAATAAGATAAAAACATGATTTCTTTTTTTTTTTTAAGAATCTAAAAAAAAAAAAAAAGCTTTGAACTGAAAACACTTAAATATTCCACTGAAATGCAGCAAATCCCTCATTTGAAAGAACTGCATACATTTGCTTGGTGTGAAAACAGCCTTCCAGACTGCTGACAGAACAGAACGGTGGAATGATCTCAAGACAACTCACCTCAACACACAAACATCACCACACAGAAATATGAGCATGTAGAGATCAACAAGATCTGATGTGTCTATCTGAAGACAAATCATCTTATTTATTAATAAGTATTTTGTAGGGATTTCTACGAATGAGAAACAAGATTATGATTTCAATTTTCAAAGTGCTCCGTTGAATTACTTCCAATAAATTCCAGAAAAGGACCAGCCACTTGTGTACACGACACGTGACAATAAATTCATTATCACTAACATGGTGAGAAAGAGGAGTGAAACTTGAGGATTTTAAATGTTTTACAAGAAAAAAGGCAAAATATTTGAGGCTTTTGTTGAGGCTTTAGAGAATCATGACAGGGCCAACAATTTAGACCATCAAAGAAATGAAATCATTGTGTTTAGGCTTTGACTTGACAGTCTATTTAAAGTATCTGAAACATCTTTTTTAAAAAAAGTCCACAATGATTATAGTAAGGTGGCATGCCATTGTAATGAGTTGTTACCCATTTAAACACAAAAACACACACAAAATTGACATACCACATGCATTCCTTCCAAGAGTCTCATAAACCAATGACGAACAAAGACAGCAAGGCAGAAACTGAAATGTAGGAAAACAATAATAGCCCTCCACTGTTGACAAAGTAGAATTCAGAACACAAACTATTCTCAAGTCATGCTAATGTAATCATTTAGGGAATACATTTTTTTAGTAATGAAACACTTCGACTGTGAACAAAGAGAAGCCAACAAAAATACATCAGACAAACCACCACTTCCACTCCATAGAAAGGCCAACTGTGAATGGTATGTACACTGTTTATATTATATTTATAAACGACACCAATTTGATTATTTACATGTTTTTTTTCTTGATCAAGTACTCATTAAGATGCCCCACCCACATTCATTGTTGTATTCACACTAAATATATATATATATATTTTTTTAAAGAAAAATATAATCCAGTCATTTGCACATACACACAAGTGCGGAAGTAACAGCGAACGAATCACTGACCATCTTAAAATGTACTGTTTGTTGGAAGCCAAGGAGAGAAAATAACGAGGGAAAATAAAAATGAAATGGAGTGTAGAGCCTCAGTAAGAAGAAAAAAAAAAAAGTTAATGCCAAAAATACTGGCATTATGACCATGTCATTTTGTTTTTAAAAGGTAAAAAATAGCAGTTGCATGTGAACACATTTTCTGCCTATATAACATGGAATCAGACATCAGTCTGCAGCGGAGACAGATGATATTAAGCAAGAAGATGTAATGAACTTAAATATTTACAAAAGACACAAACAGACCCACAAATTCAAATTCAATGGATCCTATTGCCAATATTACTTGGACATGGGATGAGTCCTAAAGTCACTTTTCTTTTGTTTCTTGCTGGTCAGTGACGGAGTCCCATGCTTCACTGGTCTTCACTTCATTAACAGTGCTTGCAAGGCTGGCAATGTATTGCAAGTCATATTTTTCCTTTTTTCTATACATATATTTGCATTCAGTTCCACGTATAGACTACATTCCAGCTTTGTTTTGCTTATAGATTGAGAACTTTAAAAATGCGTTTAAAATCTCCCATTGAATAATAGAATATTGAGAATTCAAAACATAACTGTCAGTGATTTTACCAAAAAAATGTTAATGCTAATCATTTACTGCCTTGCAAGCACTGGAATTTCCTTCAAAGAAAAGAAAATTATAAAAAACTAAAAATCTGAAATCTAGTTCTGTAACACTATCCAAACAGCTGCCACGATACTTAACAGATATGCATATAAATGAAACTTATAACATTATGCTCAATCAACAAAATTGCATATACCCTCTTTCCAATATAAAGTGAAACGCACAATTTCCAGAGAATTACAATTGTTTTCTGAAACAACAGCATATGCATCCTTTAAGAAAGAGATCAATTTGATGAGAACTCTCAAATTCTTGTTCATGTTTTTTTAACAAGCTCAATATCTAATTTCATCTCTTTCACCTCCTGTTTTCATAAAGAGCCGGCAAAATTAAGTGAGAGCAAAATGATCAGCATATCTTAAGTTACAAATCATTCATGCAGTCTGGCATTAGCCCATGCAAAACGATGGGAATGTATCCCGATAGTAAGAAAGCAGCTGAAACGTGTAACTCTGAGGTGCAGTGCACAGGTGAAACATGTATGACGGGGTTGTGGGTGACATGGCTCCCATGTTTACTGGATAATGTGTAAAACCATACAATGTTGATCGCTCCAAAATGATGGACCATATTACAGAGTGATGTACTGAACAGCTGACTTTATAGGTGTGCCAACATGCACCCTTAAATGCTATTGAATGACAACCCTCCCCTCCACCCTCCATTGAGGTACACAGCTGAAAGCACACACAGTAACTCATTCATTTCACAGATGAGATCCACAGCTACTGTCTACCTACAGTTGTAAATTCAGTAGTACTATCGAAAGTAAGGCATTCTTTTGACATCTACCAGTATTAGGAGTTGGTTCAGATTGTGCAAATGTTTAAAGCAACAGAGAAAGCAAAACATACATGAACACTGTAAACATCTGAGGTGCGCTCCTATGAAGAACTCGGATGCAACATTTGTTAATCCTATGCGGTGTCAGGTTCCTTCTGTCTCTTTGGCAGTAGTGGTTTCTTTAGGCCAATGAAAGCATTTACAATGCACTGTTGTGCAAACAAGTCTGTTTTTTTTCCCCGTTGCTGGTAATACTTTGTTTTTAACTTATACTCAGCTGAGCGAATCCCATGAGTTTAACGTCATCTGGAATTTCAGAGCTGTCCACTCCCGATGCCTAAACGAAAGAAAGACAAACATAGTGCCAAATATAAAACAACACCTCCGATGAGCAACTGACCGCTGCATCACATCATCTAATAACTTACCAACTTGAAAGTGACATTTTTGTGGGTTTGTGGATCGTCAACGATTTTCTGCAAATTGGCTGCAACTAAAAAAATGCATAGAAGTTAGAAACACTAATTATTTTCAGCTTTTGTCTTTTAAGTGTCAAGCAGCAATTTAATTTTTTATCTCGACAAACTCACCAATGACTAAGTCTCTCCCATCCACCAGTCCTGCAGACACAAGCTCCTGAGACACTCCATCAGCTGTGTCTGGATATAGAAGACATTAAATTAAACACATTTTACAAGCTTTGTGATTGAGATTACAGTTTTTCTTATGTGGTATTAGCAAGTCAATCGAACAATAAGCTGCACAAACCTCTCCCAGGCATGAACTCAAATCTGATATCGTTCAGCTCTTTCTTTGTATTCCTGTTGTTAAAAAAAAGAAAGTGAAAAAGTTTAAGAAATAAGACATTATCAGAAGGCATTTTGATTATTGCAGAACTGTAAGGACCAGTGTTATTGTAGTACCGTATTATTTAACATACTAATATTGTATTTATTCATATTTTGAATTAGCTGTTATTTTCACATTTTTAGTTTTCATTTTAATCTTAATGTTTTGATCATTTTTAAGAATATTGTATGTGCTTATGCCATTTTTATCAGTTTGATTCAATATTTCAATTGAGTCATTCTTAATAGTCGTTTTAATGCTTCCACTTTATTTCAGTTAGTTGCCAAGGCAACATTTCTGACTTTACGTTTTTCATATAATATTTCTATTTTATATTATTTCATTTATATAACAAATACAATTTTTAATCGTTTTAGTTAACAACAACGCTGTAAAGCCCATGCTTTCAACCCTGCACATTTACATCACTTTTTATTTCTCAGTTATAACCTGAAATATTTGTATTGTCATTGAAAAGAAGGAATTATATCAGTTTAACCCAAAAATCTTACTATTACTGTAAGTTACTGGGATCAGTGCTTGCGTTTACTTTTTATACAATGTAAAAGAATGGGTGAGCTAACGCAACCATGTGGAACAACTGTACTAACTGGCCTCAACAGTATGGTTAATGCTTAACTACTGGATCCATCTGGTTAAGTCACAAAAATGGGAAATACCTTAATCTTAGTACCAGGCTGATGGGGATTTTGGCTGAGTCCTGCCCTGTTGTAGTAGGTCCACCAGCCTGTAGGGATACAATTTCAAGACCTAAAGTCAACCCGTCCCTAAATTATGAACCAAGTCCACTTGTTTGGTCTTTCTCACTGCTGATACTGTTGTCACACATGGGACTCTTCACAGCAGAGCTCACCTGGGAGCCTGGAGAGGACGCTGATATCGTGGCAGTGTCATCCGCAGCATGGGGCACTTCAGACTGTCCTGCAGCTGCTGGCTGCAGGAAGCTTGATGGATCTGCTGGAAAGATCTTTGAAAAAGGCAGAAACAAGATTTTCTTAAGAATGGCTTTGAGCTAATTCAGAAAGTAGGAAATGGAACTGAACTCCCACCTCCGCATTTTGTACAGCCTCCTCCTTTACTCTTGGTGACTAAAAAAAGACAATTGAAAGACTTAAAAAATGCTTTATACAAATCCACAGACTAGAACAAAACAGACGTTAGGTAACGGTGTAGCAGATGAGTATGTACCCGTAAAGCGGCTACTGCTGCTTTTCCTTCCTCACTCTCCAAGTCCAGCTCATCATCACTCCATTCCCACTCTCCATCCTCAGTCTTGTGTAGTCGACCGCTGGAGCCCGGAACCCTCCGCACCTATTTACACAAACAACAAAATTCTTGAAGCACAACTACAAACATTTCTGTATGATATTTGTCAGTAAATTTGTCACCCACCTTCCTTGATCTCTCTCCTATTGTTGGCGCCCTGTCCAGCAATTTTTCTTTCAAGTATTCATTGTTCTGTGAAGGAATTGTGGGAAACAAAATTCTAATTTCATAGTAAGCTACAAGCCAGCGGACAACAAATCTATTGCATATTTATAATTAAGTTCTAAATATAATCATTATATTATATCATTATATATTATGAATAATTCCACAAATGTAATATTTTGGTGAAAACTGTGAGATCAGGTTATTCTAATAATAAATTTGAGACAATAAGTACAGACAGCATCCTCTGTGGGTCATAATGCAGCACTGCAGTGCCGTACAGGCCTCTGTTTACACACTGACTACAGTGCCACTGAGCCACTAGGAATGAAAGTCTGCTGAGGCAGCACTGCGTTTGTTACAATATGGGCTGTATCCCATGAGCAGGAAATGGCCTTTAGGAACTCTAATCCTGAGTATTTGTTACAGTAAAGCAACATGCTGGACCAAATGTTTAGATGACAATGATTGTAGCCAAACTTAATTATTTGGCCTGCTGGATGCAGCAATTATGTAAAACAGACTGCCCATTTGTGCACTTAGATTACCAGTAAATGAATGTTCTTTACAAATTCGGTTACAGTATCTCACCTTGGCTTTTGTGAAGAACTTGTGTTTTAAAAGTTCAGCAGCCGTAGGCCTGTTAAAGAACACTGAATATTAATAATATGACCAAAAACTGTTGGTCTCGACAGTTTTCTGGCCACAACGTCATAATCAAAGATTCCAAACACAGAGTCAGCGAACTTTAGGGAATAATTGCACTACCGTTTTTCTGGATCCTTCTGGAGGCACAAGTAGATCATCTTCCGAAAAGATTTGCCGTATTTTTTAACCATCTCTTTATCTGTAACTCCAGTCTCTAGACAAGGAGGGTCATTCTGCAGGGTTAACATGAGAACCTAAACCAAAAAAAAGGGAGAAATCAAGAAAGACCCAGACAAATCATTACGGTGGAAAAAGTACAGACAAAAACATTAAGCAACCAGAGGCTCCGTGAATTGAATGATTATTGCAATAGAGTGACTCATTTTTGAAGGCCAACCCAGAAGTTAGATTTACCCTGGATCCCTTTGGCAAAAGGCAAATAGGATTTTTCCATTAGCTTTTGGATTATTGCAGAAAATAAGACTTTGTGACAAACAAAAGATCATGATTCTTACACATTTTGTTCATCAAGTTGCAGCTTCTATTAATTTTGAAGCCTAAATACAATTCAGCAGAAGTAAAAATTTGAAGTTAGGTTATAAACAAACAGCACTGTAGTTGCATGACTTCAACGTCAGCACTACTAAGCTTTTGACAAATCTTAAAATCTTTATTTAAAATCTACAAACTAAGTTGCAATGTTTGAGTTAGAATAATTAGCATGAGCAGGAATATAAACACAACAAGGCTGTAAAAGAAGACTACGGAGTAGGTTTTCCTGTTCGGCGTAATGAGGTTTAATGTCCTTGACAACCTCTGTGGTCCTATTTAGCTACTTATTAGCAACCACCTTTTTTAAGACACATAAGCTTTAAAAAAATAATGATTGAGGTATTCCTTAGGGCTGCACGATTATGACAAAAATCATAATTGTCGATTATTCCCTTGAAATTGTAATTCCGATTATCACAATTTACATTGAATGATGTTTATACCATTGTTTGATGCAACTGCATGCCGCATTTTTATATGAAAATAAACAAGCCGAAAACACTCTAACTGAAAAACCTTTAGTGCTTTTCTATAGTATTAAGGCTCAAATGTCAAATATACATCGGATTGGTTTCTTCTTTAAATGATAAAATAGTAAAAATATGAATGGTATTATAATGTTATACTAAAACTAAAATTAAAATAATGGGAAAAGCCCTTAAGATAACACGTAGAAAGAAGCACGCAGCACGCAGAATCTTAAGCACGCAGAATAACATAAGGGGACTTTAGATTAATTGCCGCTTTGAACGATTACGTAATTGTGTCATTCATAATTGTAATCGCGATTAGAAATTCGATTAATTGTGCAGCCCTAGTATTACTGATGTATTTTATGTAGCATAAAACATGAATTTCAGCTTGTGTTAACTACCAATCTTAAAGGGGTCATATGATGTTGCTAAAAAGAACATTATTTTGTGTATTTCGTGTAATGCAATGTGTTTATGCGGTTTAAGGTTAAAAAACACATTATTTTCCACTTACTGTACATTATTGTTTCTCCTCTATGCCCCGCCTTTCTGAAACGCATAGATTTTTACTAAACTCATCGGTCTGAAAAAGCGAGGTGTGCTGTGATTGGCCAGCTATCCAGTGCGTTGTGATTGGCCGAATTCCTCAAGCGTGTGACGGAAATGTTACGTCTCTACCATATTGTGATGCCTGCAGCACTCCGCTTCGTCCACGGTGAAAGCCGATCCGGCGATCGACAGCGCGAAGTTGTAGTATTTCCTCAGCGACCAGCACGGATCAGCTCCAGGCATGATGAAGCAGATATCATCCTCTTTTGGAAGGCCAAACAAAGTAGTTTCGCTTTCACAACGAAACACACAGCGCCTTCATGACATAGTGGCAGCAGCGGCAACAATACTACAGCGAGAATAAAAGTTATGCCTTCTTTCTTTGCGTGAACATTTGGGCGGCATTATGCAAACCTTCCCAGATAGTGACGTAGGTATGTGGGGGCGTGTTAGAACGAGCCGACGAGCCGTTGTGTGGTTGACTCTTATCTTTTATAAAGAATATCTCTTTGGATTTGAGACTTTAGTCTTTGCAACTTTACAACTTTACAGTATGCACCAAGAGCTTGTAACACTCCAAAGAGAAAGGAAAAATTGAAATCGCATCATATGACCCCTTTAAGGCATTTAACCAAAAACCCATTCAAAAAACCCACTGACTTCAGGACGATGGAATCAGAAGTGCAAAATGCCAACTCGTTTCCAGATTTTCTGATCGTTCCTGCATCACTCTATTGGCAGGTTTCATAGCAGACTCTCCATAAACTGAAAACAAACAATGACTTGCTGCATACCTTCATTGGAGGATATTTGTGATATGGAGCAGCCCCGGTTGCCAGCTCAATAGCCGTAATCCCAAAACTCCAGATATCAGCTTTGAAATCATAACCCCTAACCTGTGATTGAGCAAACACATTATAATGATCACATTCTGTAACAAAGCCATTCAGTTTCCAAAATATAGGTAAAAGGCAAAGTAGGAACAAGTGAGACAACACTAACCTGCTCCATCACCTCAGGCGCCATCCAGCATGGGGTTCCTACAAACGTCTTCCTCACTTTGTTTCTAGTCATGTCTCCACCAGTTGCTAAAAAGGCACTAACACCAAAGTCTTCGGGGAGAAAAGCAGACATCAAAACTCTCAATCGTCTGACCCAAGATCACTGCAAGTTGTGTATTTATTATATACTTTTCATGCCATTCAAAGACTTTGAAAGCAAACAGAATTATATTGCCTCTTTTCCTGTTTGCTTCTACCAAAAAAAAATTTTGTTATACTTTTTTCCCTCCAAGTATAACATTCCGCATAAAGTACATAAACACTATGAAGGCAATCAAATATTACATCGAAATAAGAATATTTTGCATTCCTTCGAAATAATAAAAAAAAACTGTTTAAATCCTAATATTAAGCTAATTACTTGTCAATAATCAGAAGAAGACAAAAATAATGTATTGACAGTGGAACTCCACCTGCAATTTGAACAGAGCCGTCTTCTCCTAAAAGAATATTTCCAGCCTTCACATCCCTTTACAGAGAGAAGTACAGGTCAGTGTATTGCTCAGTGACTCAAAATGAACTCAAGAATGGAAAATGAAGCACATATAAATGTAATTATAGACAGACACCAAACCATCCATATACCTGTGAATCTGGCCATTTTTGTGCAGATAATCAAGACCTTCTAGCACCTCTTTTAGTATGGTGGCAATGCTGGCCTCATCCATGACACCCGATTTGTGCTCCCCTTTGGAAATTATGTACTTGATAAAATCAAGAACTGAGCCTGAAAACAGACATGAATGGGAAGATTTTGTATTATGTTTTACTTTATTTTCAATAACTTTCTTGTTGTTATTGTTTATTCAAGACATGCTTTTAAACGATGAACTAACTGACCACCACTGAGCAACTTCATGACCAGCCAAAGCTCATCCTTGACCACAAAGGAAGTGTAATAAGACACAATATTTGGGTGATGGCACTGGCTCATTGCCTGGATCTCTTTCTAAAAAAATAAATAAATAAAAGCAGGAAAGAAAATGTTAGGAAGCAGTAAATGTTTAAAGCTAAACAGAGGTTTCTAAAAGACAATAATGGTAAGTAATTGCAAACAAAAGATCCCATTCAGATCACTATGAGTGCTCAACCATGTCCTTCTGGGTCAAATTACTTCAAGATGTGGCCATTCATGAGTTTTATTCTACAGAACTGAAAGAGACATTCGGTGAATAGAAGTCTTTCAATACAGATTTACACCAAACTAAATTAATTGATTTAAATCTATTCTACATCATAAAAGGGCACCTTTTCTGTATAAGTGCAAGTGTAGTTAGCTAGTCTGGTTTCATAGGCCATTCTAACTCTGATAGTTTAATCACAAACAAGAAAAGTCTTTCCTTGTGTCTGTGCCAGTTTAATCCTCCTCTGATTGACAGAGTGGCTGCCTTGCACATGACCGAGTTACATCATGACCCCACCATTTTGCAAAAAGATCATTAACTGAGGGAAATGGGACAGACCCTTCGTCAGATGTACATTGCATATTTTCTAAAACTTAAATATTCTCAGTCAATATTTGTGTCTATATTTACTGGAGTTTGTCTCAACCTCTGCAGTTTTCTTGCATGCTTGCAGAATAGCATAAATTACTTAAATTATTCAATTACCAAGAGATTCAACTAATCTATTTTTGTTTGAAGAACATTTGCATAATGCACAGATTCTGTGTAGACAGAATTTTTAATTTGGAATATATACACACACATATACATACATACATACATACATGTGTGTGTGTGTGTGTATATATATATATATATCATGTTGTAATTGCGGGAAAGATTAATTTTACTCCAATGCACGATTAATTATGATTAAACAACATAGGCTGCAGAGGCTGCAGAATCATTTATAAGGAAACATTACGCTTCTAAAGAGAGCCAGACGAATTAACTACCATCCATAAATAACCAGTTTAAGCAGAGACTCCATCCTAATCAAATACCTTTAGGTGGTGGGTCTTATTTTATGAGCAGTAAGCAGACATTACCAGAAGCTCATCCATGCTGGTCTGGCATTTCTCAAGATTGATGCGTTTAATGGCCACCTTCTCTTTCCTGGGTTTGCAATATGCTGCCTGGACCACAGCTGTTGCTCCACTCCCTATATAACAGCAGAAAAAGATCAAAAAGATCAATTTAAATCAGATTTGGTAATACAAACAAAAAATCTGCATATGAAATAACATGCATTACTAAGAAAATATTATAGATGACAGATGCAGAGGATTATAGTATTCACAATCCATAGATGAAATGAAAAGTGAAAGTGCGTTCTTAGGGAAAATTTTGACTTTTTCTTTTTTAATTTTGGCAGAAAATTTTTCCTTTTTTTTTGTGGAAAATCTTTGGAATTGTAATATTTTAAATAAATCTAAACATTTCATAAATCTATTTTATACTGGGTACACAAAATAGTTACACTCAGGACTTTAAGGAAAAAAATGTCCCCATTAAAAATGCTAAATTTAATCTCAGTGCCATTTAAGCATAAAATAATTCATTGTTTGTTAACAGGCTTTCATTTTGTTGTGAAGGCTCACTCCCTATTGGTTGAACTTCGTTTTCGAATGACATTGGAAAACACTAGTGTCGTCATTGTGATGTGACCGGTTTCCAGAAAATCTAGATCTCAAGATCTATGCATCACATTATGTTGTGTGTGGGCCAGTTTCAATCAAGACAACCTGCTTTAAAGATATGCAATATACTATGGTTTATTTTTGTTACGAAGTTACAAAGCAAAACGTGCAAAGGCCTCACGTGTATATCGTTTACATGTTGGCAGAGCCTGGTTACTCAAAAGTAATACATTTTTAGTAGTTAAGATCAGGACTGATGTTGGTTTAAAAAAAATCTAAAGTGAAAAATTACTAAACATTTTTTAGGTCAATTTTTTGACATTTTTGTCTTCTAAGGACCTGAATTAGGTAGGTGTGGTTGACTCTTATCTTTTATAAAGAATATCTCTTTGGATTTGAGACTTTAGTCTTTGCAACTTTACAGATCTTCTTTATGCACCAAGAGCTTGTAACACTCCAAAGAGAAAGGAAAAATTGAAATCGCATCATATGACCCCTTTAAGGCATTTAACCAAAAACCCATTCAAAAAACCCACTGACTTCAGGACGATGGAATCAGAAGTGCAAAATGCCAACTCGTTTCCAGATTTTCTGATCGTTCCTGCATCACTCTATTGGCAGGTTTCATAGCAGACTCTCCATAAACTGAAAACAAACAATGACTTGCTGCATACCTTCATTGGAGGATATTTGTGATATGGAGCAGCCCCGGTTGCCAGCTCAATAGCCGTAATCCCAAAACTCCAGATATCAGCTTTGAAATCATAACCCCTAACCTGTGATTGAGCAAACACATTATAATGATCACATTCTGTAACAAAGCCATTCAGTTTCCAAAATATAGGTAAAAGGCAAAGTAGGAACAAGTGAGACAACACTAACCTGCTCCATCACCTCAGGCGCCATCCAGCATGGGGTTCCTACAAACGTCTTCCTCACTTTGTTTCTAGTCATGTCTCCACCAGTTGCTAAAAAGGCACTAACACCAAAGTCTTCGGGGAGAAAAGCAGACATCAAAACTCTCAATCGTCTGACCCAAGATCACTGCAAGTTGTGTATTTATTATATACTTTTCATGCCATTCAAAGACTTTGAAAGCAAACAGAATTATATTGCCTCTTTTCCTGTTTGCTTCTACCAAAAAAAAATTTTGTTATACTTTTTTCCCTCCAAGTATAACATTCCGCATAAAGTACATAAACACTATGAAGGCAATCAAATATTACATCGAAATAAGAATATTTTGCATTCCTTCGAAATAATAAAAAAAAACTGTTTAAATCCTAATATTAAGCTAATTACTTGTCAATAATCAGAAGAAGACAAAAATAATGTATTGACAGTGGAACTCCACCTGCAATTTGAACAGAGCCGTCTTCTCCTAAAAGAATATTTCCAGCCTTCACATCCCTTTACAGAGAGAAGTACAGGTCAGTGTATTGCTCAGTGACTCAAAATGAACTCAAGAATGGAAAATGAAGCACATATAAATGTAATTATAGACAGACACCAAACCATCCATATACCTGTGAATCTGGCCATTTTTGTGCAGATAATCAAGACCTTCTAGCACCTCTTTTAGTATGGTGGCAATGCTGGCCTCATCCATGACACCCGATTTGTGCTCCCCTTTGGAAATTATGTACTTGATAAAATCAAGAACTGAGCCTGAAAACAGACATGAATGGGAAGATTTTGTATTATGTTTTACTTTATTTTCAATAACTTTCTTGTTGTTATTGTTTATTCAAGACATGCTTTTAAACGATGAACTAACTGACCACCACTGAGCAACTTCATGACCAGCCAAAGCTCATCCTTGACCACAAAGGAAGTGTAATAAGACACAATATTTGGGTGATGGCACTGGCTCATTGCCTGGATCTCTTTCTAAAAAAATTAAATAAATAAAAGCAGGAAAGAAAATGTTAGGAAGCAGTAAATGTTTAAAGCTAAACAGAGGTTTCTAAAAGACAATAATGGTAAGTAATTGCAAACAAAAGATCCCATTCAGATCACTATGAGTGCTCAACCATGTCCTTCTGGGTCAAATTACTTCAAGATGTGGCCATTCATGAGTTTTATTCTACAGAACTGAAAGAGACATTCGGTGAATAGAAGTCTTTCAATACAGATTTACACCAAACTAAATTAATTGATTTAAATCTATTCTACATCATAAAAGGGCACCTTTTCTGTATAAGTGCAAGTGTAGTTAGCTAGTCTGGTTTCATAGGCCATTCTAACTCTGATAGTTTAATCACAAACAAGAAAAGTCTTTCCTTGTGTCTGTGCCAGTTTAATCCTCCTCTGATTGACAGAGTGGCTGCCTTGCACATGACCGAGTTACATCATGACCCCACCATTTTGCAAAAAGATCATTAACTGAGGGAAATGGGACAGACCCTTCGTCAGATGTACATTGCATATTTTCTAAAACTTAAATATTCTCAGTCAATATTTGTGTCTATATTTACTGGAGTTTGTCTCAACCTCTGCAGTTTTCTTGCATGCTTGCAGAATAGCATAAATTACTTAAATTATTCAATTACCAAGAGATTCAACTAATCTATTTTTGTTTGAAGAACATTTGCATAATGCACAGATTCTGTGTAGACAGAATTTTTAATTTGGAATATATACACACACATATACATACATACATACATACATGTGTGTGTGTGTGTGTATATATATATATATATCATGTTGTAATTGCGGGAAAGATTAATTTTACTCCAATGCACGATTAATTATGATTAAACAACATAGGCTGCAGAGGCTGCAGAATCATTTATAATCTAAAGTGAAAAATTACTAAACATTTTTTAGGTCAATTTTTTGACATTTTTGTCTTCTAAGGACCTGAATGTTAGTTTTTCTTTTAAATCTGATACTGCTTAAAAAAAAATCAAAACCAATGTTGTTGCTATTGACACACCCAATATAATCCAAAAATAGCTAGATAAGACAGATAGATAGATAGATAGATTCTGCTCTTAGCATTTAGTATATGCAAAATAACTGACTTTTTGTGTGTGTTTTCCTCCATAAAACACAGTGATTTTATTATGTAAATAAACTGTCGTTTAAAGTGTTAAAGACCTGAAAATGAATGAATTTTTAGTACATGTAGTTATGATCAGGACTGATGTTGGAAAAACTCATTGAAAGTGGGAAAAATGTATAATAAATATATAATATTTTAGGACCTCTGTGTAACTTTTCTAAATAGATGCACATGGGTTAACCATTATAATGGAATGCTCGTTATTGTTCCCCTATATTGTTCCACACTTCCTTTTACATGACAACTTCCCTCGCCAAAGGGAGCAGAAAAGACCAAACCCAAATGTCCCCAGGACAAGAAAATTAGCTCTGGTTATGTGTATTTATTAGTTAACTAGTTAGTTAAAGTGATCTCAAAATACATCAAACTTTCATCTAGATGACAGCCCATCTGCATGAACATTATATGAAGCAGCTTGTCACTAAACTAGCTAGCATGTTGTCAACTGTAATGGTTCTTAAACCACCAAGCAGCCCATATATCATGTATAACGTTATATCACGATGAAATCCCCAAATCAATCAGTAAATCAGCCATTGTCCGCAAAGCATTACAGTCTGCTGGCATGTCGGGTGGCTAGTTAGCATGGCTAACACAGACTGAACATCTTCCCGGCGCGATGACTCAATTACTGATGGAGATCAGAAATAACACAGACCACCAGGCCCCCCGAGATCATAACACAGATGTCTTAATCTCCGTTATTCTATCATTGCTGAAATCTAGATGCTGATGTGTGATGGTTTAGCTCACCGATCACCTCCTGAAGCTCATAGTCATCCTTGTCGATAGACCAAGGGTGAGAGCTCGGGTCTTCGGACATGACTGCAGTCAGATCACGACAGCCGTACGCTAACGTACACTGCACGCTTACACGACAGCAAGAGCTGGAAAACGGACAACCGGGATTTAGGCTCGATGTGCTTATGCTGATTTTGCCGACCGCTCAGTCTCAACAGCCAAACTTTGCCAACAGAGATGGTGACCCCGCCTTAGGCGGAAAATGCTCTTCCTCGTGTCAAAATCTTGGAGGCAACCAAAATGATGCCACGTAACGCCACCTACCGGTCATCACGCATAGTCACAGGGGAGACCAGCACAAGTAGATTGCGTCCTCAGTCACTCTGACCATATTAAAAATGTCCCTTTCTCTTTAAAATCGTAAGGGTTTGTTATACTGTTGTACTTAACATGAGTCCTTGTATGTAACTATTTACTGCACTTTAAAACAGAAAATAATGCTAAAGTTAAAAAAACAAAAACAAAGAGTTACTGGATTAAATGTAGCTAATATTTGAAAATATTTACAACATTTTTTATACACGATCCTTTTATATGAGAAGTAAAAGAAACGAATGAGTAAAAAGTATAAAATAAATGAAAATGTATTTACTGTATTTACTGTTAAAAAATTAAAAATGTTTTTTTTTTTATTCTATCATTGCTGAAATCTAGATGCTGATGTGTGATGGTTTAGCTCACCGATCACCTCCTGAAGCTCATAGTCATCCTTGTCGATAGACCAAGGGTGAGAGCTCGGGTCTTCGGACATGACTGCAGTCAGATCACGACAGCCGTACGCTAACGTACACTGCACGCTTACACGACAGCAAGAGCTGGAAAACGGACAACCGGGATTTAGGCTCGATGTGCTTATGCTGATTTTGCCGACCGCTCAGTCTCAACAGCCAAACTTTGCCAACAGAGATGGTGACCCCGCCTTAGGCGGAAAATGCTCTTCCTCGTGTCAAAATCTTGGAGGCAACCAAAATGATGCCACGTAACGCCACCTACCGGTCATCACGCATAGTCACAGGGGAGACCAGCACAAGTAGATTGCGTCCTCAGTCACTCTGACCATATTAAAAATGTCCCTTTCTCTTTAAAATCGTAAGGGTTTGTTATACTGTTGTACTTAACATGAGTCCTTTGTAGTAACTATTCACTGCACTTTAAAACAGAAAATAATGCTAAAGTTAAAAAAAACAAAAACAAAGAGTTACTGGATTAAATGTAGCTAATATTTGAAAATATTTACAACATTTTTTATACACGATCCTTTTATATGAGAAGTAAAAGAAACGAATGAGTAAAAAGTATAAAATAAATGAAAATGTATTTACTGTATTTACTGTTAAAAAATTAAAAATGTTTTTTTTTTTTACGAATATGCTTAATATTTATTGGGAAATATATTACAGATAATATAATATAAAAATATATTATAATGCCTATTGGGAAGTAGGCATTCCCTGTTTATGCATTATCAGGTGTTGTGTTTTAAGTAAAAAATGTATGTTACTCAATTGATATTTTATTATTTGTTTATGCATGCATTATGTTATGCGTGCTACCCTGTAGATGTTTTGTGTTTATGTGGGTATCACTGTAAAATATTTTTGTTCTAAAAGAGATTAAAGTCTTTTAAATGTCAAACATAACAGCATTAAACACTATAATGCTAAAATAACAATTGATTTCATTATCCTTATCCAGTCCTATGCAAAGCACACTGGGAACTAGAAATAGAAAGACAGTTTCATTAACTAGAACATATTTATAACAAGAAAGAGAGAGAGAGAGAGAGAGAGAGAGAGAGAGAGAGAGAGTTTACAACATTTTTTATACACGATCCTTTTATATGAGAAGTAAAAGAAACGAATGAGTAAAAAGTATAAAATAAATGAAAATGTATTTACTGTATTTACTGTTAAAAAATTAAAAATGTTTTTTTTTTTACGAATATGCTTAATATTTATTGGGAAATATATTACAGATAATATAATATAAAAATATATTATAATGCCTATTGGGAAGTAGGCATTCCCTGTTTATGCATTATCAGGTGTTGTGTTTTAAGTAAAAACAATTGATATTTTATTATTTGTTTATGCATGCATTATGTTATGCGTGCTACCCTGTAGATGTTTTGTGTTTATGTGGGTATCACTGTAAAATATTTTTGTTCTAAAAGAGATTAAAGTATTTTAAATGTCAAACATAACAGCATTAAACACTATAATGCTAAAATAACAATTGATTTCATTATCCTTATCCAGTCCTATGCAAAGCACACTGGGAACTAGAAATAGAAAGACAGTTTAATTAACTAGAACATATTTATAACAAGAAAGAGAGAGAGAGAGAGA